CTATTCATTTGCCCATATTTCTATAAATCAAAGCTGAATCTTACTACCTCCAATAATGCAACCATACGTGCTTCTTAAGATACTAATTTTGTAACATTTTTCTCTTCAGTTTCAATTTCACTCTCCACTGAAGAAGTCATGTTTTAAATTTGAAAAAAAAAAAATTTAAATATATAAGTCAAGAAAAGGGAGCGGCTAAAATAAACTAAAAGTTGAAAATTTTCTTCTGTTAGAGATGAAATCTTCACTTTTTTATATATAATTATTCAAATAATAAAATACTATATATAGTATTACACCAATAATTCAGAATTAAATCTGAGAATAAAATTTCAAGATTGAAATCTAACTCCACGAGCGAAGAACTAGCTTAAAATTAAAATTTTCAATCTCAATTACAAGCATTATTAATTTGAATTATCGATCTAATGGACCAATCATGTCTACATTTTCAATTTAATTTAATAGTTAAAAAATCCTGCAAATAATAAAAAAGCAATATTATATTAAACCATAGAATTCAATCATAGTCATTGACTAGCTAAATGGAAAAGTTTTAGAGTTGTACTAATTATTGAGAGCCATAACTATGCTTCTCTCCCACACTTATTAACATGTACCTTTTTCTTTCTTTTCCTAGATACCATTGTTAAGGATGTGATTCCAAAGTGCAATTCCTATATGCAAAAGCAATACATAATCAATGGGTCAATTCACCTATAATAATTGGATCAACATATATAATTATTATCCATATCAAAGAAATTACAAAATTCTTTTTTTTTTCAATAAAATTATTTACTAATGTCATTAGATTTTCATAAAGTTTCAATCATATTTTTTTAATAATTATTAATCTTTTTATGACGTGCGTTGCAAGTTGAATATACTCGTTAGATAGTCATTTTTTATACTTTTTTTATCTATATAATATTAAAGCATAAATTTTTATCTAAATTAAAATAAACACAAATGGTTAATTTATATAATGTTTTTTCGTATAAACTATTTGTAAGGCTACTTCTTATATATTTAATTATATTTTATATAATGAAATAGTCTCAGACTGAATTGATAATGGTAATCATTTTGACTATAGTGACAATATTACTTATATGATAATGGTAATCATTTTGACTATAGTGACAATATTACTTATATTTAAAAATGGAATATATGCACATACACATAAATTCTTGAAACTCAAAAAAATGACCCAAAATATAAATATATAATTCTAGTTTTTTTTTCAATTTTTGAAACACTATTTTCATTTAAGTCAAATAGATTTAGAATATAAGAAAAAAATATCAAAAAAATTAAAAATGCTTAATCATTAGGAGACCATCTATTTATTGTAAGGGAGATATAAATCTCTTACTAAATTAACATGATAATAGTTATTAATTATTCAACAACGAAAAAAAAAATATTATTAAGAATAGACCTCATTTCAAAATTCATATGATAAAAAAAGTTTCCATGTAAATATATCAATAAAATATTATATATATTTTAAAATTAAAATTTCGAACACTTCGCTAATCTCATGCACATGTTCATTTTATTTAAAACAAAGTTTGAAAAATAAAAATTTTAAAATTTTCAAAGATTTAGTTGTGTGTATTCTATTTGAAAATTTATTTTTTAAAACATATATCCAATCAAATCATACAGACATAAAGAATAAATATTAACAAAATAATATATTTTTTTCTTCTTTATCTCTCCTAAAAAAATATTGTGTATATTCTATTTGAAGATTTATTTTTAAAAAATATATCCAATCAAATCATATAAATATAAAGAAAAAAAGAACATTAATAAAAAGATTTTATTTTTTATTTTTTGCTGAAATAAAATATTATAAAATATAAAGAAAAAAAGAACATTAATAAAAAGATTTTATTTTTTATTTTTTGCTGAAATAAAATATTATAAATTATAATTAAAATGGAATCAAATAATTGAAAAACAAAATATAAAGTTTTCAAATGTTTCCTTATATATATTTATTAATAATAAGTTTGAAAAAACAAAACTTAAATTTTTAAACTGCTTTAAAAAAAAGTTAATAATTACAAATTATTTAGTAATGAAAAAAAAATAAAAAAATAATATGAAGAATAAAAACCTGTTTAAAATTCACCTAAGGAAAAAGAGGTTTTAATTTTAATTTTAATGTCTATACATATACAAATATATCAATAAAATATTATCTATATTTTTTAAATTAAAATTTTAAACCATTCGTCAATCTCCCATACGCATATGTTAATTTTATTTAAAATAAATTTAAGAAAAATGTAAAACTTTTCAAAAGTTTAATTATGTGTATTCTATTTGAATATTTATTTTTAAAAAATATATCAAATCAAATCATATAAACATAAAGAACAAATATTAATAAAATGATACATTTTTTTCTTTTTTTATCTCTGTCTTAAATAAAATATTATGTATATTCTATTTGAAATTTTTATTTTTTTAAAAATATATCCAATAAAATCATACAAATAATAAAAATATAAAGAAAAAAATATTGATAAATTTTTTTTATTTGTCTCTAAAATAAAATAGTTTAAATTATAACTAAAATAAAATTAAAATATTAAAAAAATAAAATTTAAAAATTTTCAAATATCTCGTTATCATATATATTTATTAAAATCGTCATCAGCAAAAATTAACCTCACAGTCAAGAGTAACTTTTGTCTCTTTCACAAATCATAATATACAGGACCTTGCAATAGTTCTCAAAAAATCAAAAATCTCGAGCCTCTATTACATACTCTTATATGACGATTGAAAAGGAGCAAACAAAACGAATTACATAGACTATCCAATATATATTTTCCAACTCAAATATTACTTCTCGTTTGCATGTGGAGAAAATATTGGATAATCTTAAATAATGATTTTGTTTTGGTATGTAAAAATTAATAATTATTTTATATAATGATCATACAATGGATTATTTGTTGAGGAACCATATATTTAGTTATAAATAAAATGATTTCTTTAATAAATAAATACATTATATATATTCTTCCATTTATATGAAATCTGGCGATCTCCACATGCAATAATTCTAATAATTTCAAGAGAAATAAATAATAATAGTAATCATATGGTATTATTTAATATATTTCAGAACCATTGTTATCTTTGGCGCCGGCAATAATATCGTGAGGGACCAAGTATAGTATTAATCAGCATGTAATAAGATGTTTTCAGTTTAATTAATTGAATGATAATGTGATTGATTCAATATTTTATTAATTTAACTAATTTTATACTAAATTTAAAATTAGTTAAATTAGTGTGTATGTATAATATTTAACTATATTTTTTTCTTATTGTTATTTATTTTTTTATATATATAATCAAAAGGTATAATACTTCTCCAACTGTAGAGCACAAAGTTTTGTTCTCATGAACGTGAAAATTTTTTATATAATCAAGAGGTGTAATCCAACTGATACGAGGGATAAGAAGTTTTAAGTAAATTTAAATTCACGTGGATGCTTATAAATTTTTTAAATTGTAGAAATGTAATTTTGAGTTTATCGTTGTGTTTGATATAAATGAATTTAAAATATAAAATTCATTTATAAATGAGTTATAGTAGAATTTATTTGTGAATAAATTTTTATGTTTGGTATGATTAATTTAAAACTTATAATTCAATTGAATTCCATGTAATCGTGTTTGGAATAAATTTTATAATTGAAAATATATTTACTTTTATTTCTTAAAATATTCTTAAAATAGTAATTTTACAAAAATAAATAATAAATACCAATTATATTTAAAAATAATAATTTAAATACCAATTATATTTATATATGTTATAAATTTTTTATTTTTAATTAAATAAAAATTTATATAATAAAAATAATATTAAAAATATATAATAAAAATAATATTAATAAATTATTGAATTTAATTTAATGATAAATGTACATTTAATTTGAATCTTTCTCGGTAAAAAAATGCTAAAAAATATTAAAATAAAAACAATAAGAAAATATTTTTCTAAAAAAATAAATTTTTTAAACAATTTTGGTCAAGTTTGATAAAAATAAATAAGCCAAATAAGTAAAAAAAATTGAAAATGATTCTTTTGTCATAAAAGTTGGATTACTTAGTTTTGTGAAATGCATTTGGAAATTTCACATATTCTTGGGAATTTGGTGTAGTTGCTTAATTTTGTGAAATTTATTTACAAATTTAGTATAATTTTTATAGAATTTAGTATAATTTTATCATAAAAAGTTGAATTGCTTAAATTTGTAGAATTTAGAAATTTCATATATATTTTTGTAGAATTTGGTTACTTAATTTTGTGGAATTTATTTAGAAATTTTATTTATTTTTATAGAATTTGATATAATTATGTTCAATTTCATAGAATTTAATTTATAGGATTAAAATCTGTATTTGCTTTTCATTCCAAATAAAAAAAAAATAGATTTATAAATCAATTCCACAGAAAAAAAATTTAAAAATAGTACTATATACATATATAAATAACGGATAATATTTAAACAAAACGGATAACTCAAACTTAAAAAAGAAAAAAAAGAAACATTCTCTGCAATAATAAAAATAAGTTTTGACGGAATTTTCTTCCTCTCAATTTTCCCCTCTCCCAAACTTAAGATAGATTAATAGAATTCACCCTATCATAAAAAATAAAAAAAAAAAAAAAAAAAAAAAAAAAAAAAAACAAAAAAAACCTAAATTATCCTCTCCGCATTCGCCAAAACAGTTTTGAATCCGCTGAAAATCTCTATGACGAATTTTTTGCAAAATTAAAAAAAAAAAAAAACTAAATTATAAATAAAAATTACGTATTCCGTACACATGTTTTATTCAGAGGCGTGGCACAAAATAATTGGCAGGAGCACAAACATTTTTGTGGTACTAGCAACACCTGTTCCTTCTCCTTTATCGATAACTCGCAGATAAAAACACCAACTCTGAGTCCCAGCTAATATATAAGCTTGACATTATCTTTACTGTAATAAGCGTGAGCTAATGAACTGAGCAACAGTACAAAACAACATCCAAAAAGCTTAACCAGACCATTAATGGCGTGTACTGCCCGGCTCAAGATAGCTTGACTTTTTAATCCTCCTCTTTGATTCCGTTCACGGTTTAACAAACGCATCTAACAAAGCAAAAGCAATTTGTTTTAAGGAAGCAAACAAATAGAAAATATAAACTGCTTCTAAAACCCATTGAACCCATTCTTTCAAGAAAACTAAAACAAGAAACTAAAGAATCAAGAAAGAATAAGGAATATTATGAGAAGGGCACATATTCTGGTTTTGATAGTATTTTTCTATGGTATTCTTGCAACGACAACGTCGTTTGGAGCCAATGTGACGTACGATCATAGGTCTTTGCTTATCGATGGCAAGCGCCGCGTTTTGATCTCTGGTTCCATTCATTATCCTCGCAGCACTGCTGAGGTAATTTCATTTCTTCTTTATCTTTTTTCTTTTTTAAAAAGAAAAATGTTTCTTAGTTAGATTTCACCTTTTATAAGATACTGATACTTGTTGATGTTGATTTAGATGTGGCCAGGCCTTATACAGAAATCTAAAGATGGAGGTCTTGATGTTATAGAGACTTACGTTTTCTGGAATGTACACGAACCAGTTAGAAATCAGGTTTTGTGGTGCTCTGTTTTTGCTTTTTTATTAATATTATGGCTTTGTTTGTTTGCGGGGAAAATGCAAGAGATTATTAGTAATTAAATTGATAGGAAAAGATTCTTTACTTCTTGTGTCTTTCTTTTTTATTATCTTTTGCTTTTGGTATGAAACAGAGGATACTCTGTTTCTTGATTACTTTGTTAATCAAAGAATCATTGATTAAACAATTCTTTTAATTATAATATATGTGCAGTATAATTTCGAAGGAAGATATGATCTGGTGAAATTTGTCAAGACAGTTGCAGCAGCTGGACTTTATGTTCATCTTCGCATTGGTCCATATGTCTGCGCAGAATGGAATTATGGGTATAAAATTTTTCTTCATGCCCTTTGATTCTAATAATTAACTGAAAATTACTTATTTTCCTCATTTTGTTTTGATATCTCATTGAAATTGATATTTAAGTATGATTTCTTTTTCATTTTTGGGGTTGAGCAGTGGCTTTCCTCTTTGGTTGCATTTTATACCTGGAATCAAGTTTCGGACTGATAATGAGCCGTTCAAGGTTATTACAATCACATAGTTTGTTAATATTTTTGTATTGGTTAATGGGTATTTTTCAGTTGTTCATTTAGTTATTACTCATTATATATATATTTTTTTTCTGTTTTGGTCTCTGTTTTAGACTGAAATGCAGCGATTTACAGCTAAGATTGTAGACCTGATGAAGCAGGAGAAGCTCTATGCTTCTCAAGGAGGACCTATCATTTTATCACAGGTTAATTTTTACTATTATTTTAGTAAGAGGTAGTTTTGATGGTGTCCAAAGTCTGCATATTCTTTTCATTTGTTGGTCTCTCTTTCCAAAATTAGACAATTAATCCCTAAATCATTGGTGTTTGACTTTTTGGTAATTGAGGAGTACTGTGTTCTAGAAGCAAAAAGCTCTTTCTTTTTTTTTTTTTTTAATTATATTTTTTTGTTTATTCTTATTTCCTTTTAAATAATTTTGTACTTTTTAATTCCTTAAATTTCAGATTGAAAATGAGTATGGGAACATTGATTCAGCATTTGGCCCTGCTGCAAAAACCTATATCAATTGGGCAGCAAACATGGCTGTTTCTTTGGGCACTGGTGTGCCTTGGGTCATGTGCAATCAAGGAGATGCTCCTGATCCCATTGTGAGTGAGTTTGTCTGTTTTCTTTTTTTTTTTTTTTAATTCTCATATCATATTTTATTTTCCTACCTTAATTCTATACCAGTTCCCTTAGCCACCTGCTTTATATGACATCTGTGTGGTTGGATAAATTTGCAGATAAACACCTGCAATGGATTCTATTGTGATCAATTCACCCCAAATTCTAAGAACAAACCAAAAATTTGGACTGAGAATTGGAGTGGATGGTCAGTGCTCAAAAACTTAAACATTTAACAATTATGATATTTCATACTGGATAAAATTTCCATTTGAACAAGTTTTGTTTTCTTGTTTCAGCTATATACTTTTCTCTAAATGCTCTTAAAATGCTAGGTTTGTATCCTTTGGTGGTGCTGTTCCCTACAGACCTGTTGAAGACCTTGCATTTGCCGTCGCACGATTTTTCCAGCTAGGTGGAACTTTCCAAAACTATTATATGGTATGCAAATTTTTCTGTGGTAGAAAGCACAATCTCAAACTGAAGTATTTGAGTCAACATATTTAAATTTAAATTTGCTTCCCTGTTATAGTATCATGGTGGGACTAATTTTGATCGGAGTTCTGGTGGACCTTTTATTGCTACAAGTTATGATTATGATGCACCTCTTGACGAATATGGTATGTCTATATATCTTGAGTGGACATGCTTGCTATAAGCTACAATGTCTCAATTTTATAATATTAGACTATAATTTCAAATATATTGCAGGACTTCTTAGACAACCTAAATGGGGCCACCTGAAAGATCTGCATAAGGCCATCAAGCTTTGTGAAGAAGCACTGATAGCAACTGATCCATCAACTACTTCTCTAGGTTCAAACTTGGAGGTACATTTCATTTTGATGAATTTAAGAACATATAAAAAGGTTCTGTAATTTATGATAAATTTTCTTTCAGGCTACAGTCTATAAAACAGGATCAGGATTATGTGCCGCTTTTCTTGCAAATGTTGCCACCACTGACAAAACTGTAACTTTCAATGGCAATTCATATAATTTGCCTGCATGGTCTGTGAGCATCTTACCAGACTGCAAGAATGTAGTTTTCAATACTGCCAAGGTTTGTCTCGTTAGCTTGTAATTTATGCATTAGTTCTGCAGTTCTATTATGCAGATATGCGTAGACTAGAAGTATTTTAGCTATTCCTTTATGTGCCAGTGAGATGGAACTATTAGTACTTTTCCTTGCTATTATCATGATAAATCTTTTTTTTTGGTTTCTCATCATGACAGATTAACTCTATGACTGTGATTTCAAGCTTCACCCGCCAATCCCTTGTGGGCGATGTTCAGTCCTCAAAGGCACTTGGCTCTGACTGGAGTTGGATAAATGAACCAGTAGGTATATCAAAGAAAGATGCATTTGTCAAGTCTGTATTATTGGAGCAGATAAATACTACTGCTGATAAAAGTGACTACTTATGGTACTCGTTAAGGTATGCAAGTCTATTATTTTTCACTATTGTTTCACCGAGGCATAGTTTTGCTGCTCTACTCTTTCATATGATTATATCTACTAGGCTAATATCTAAATAAGTACCTTGGTATCTGACAATCTTTCTGGTTATTTTTGGCAGCACCAATATCAAAGGCAATGAGCCCTTCCTTGATGATGGATCTCAAACTGTTCTTCATGTGGAATCTCTTGGCCATGCCCTTCATGCTTTTGTTAATGGGAAGCTCGCAGGTAGTGCAACAGGCAAGTATAGCAATCCTAAGGTTGCAGTAGACATTCCCATCACTGTTGTACCTGGGAAGAACACTATTGATCTTCTAAGTTTGACTGTTGGACTTCAGGTTTGACCTTCTTTGTCATTATTCAATCATTACGCAAGCAATTATTAGAGAAGGGTAGTTATTATCTGATTTATGTTCTGCTGTAGTAGTTTTAAAACTTTTTGAATGAATAAGACATTCTGTTTAATGAACGCAATTGAACATTCAAACATTATTAGATATGAATATTATGTGATGGAAAATCTTTTAACTTTTATGTCAGAATTATGGAGCTTTTTATGAATTGACTGGTGCTGGAATAACTGGTCCAGTAAAGCTGAAGGGGCAAAATGGCAATACTGTTGATCTCTCCTCAGAGCAGTGGACATATCAGGCAAGTATTTGTTTCTCATATTTCCCTGGTGGACCAGGCTACAATGGATAGTGCCAGAAAATGGTACACTTTGCATAGTTTTCGCAATTGAAAATGCCGGGCAGAAGAGAAACTTTTCCAATGTAAATTATGTACCAAATACCAGCCTTGAAAAACGATCAGAAATACCACATCTTTCAAATTCTTTTCTTTATATGCTTTTTGTGCAGATTGGGCTTCAAGGTGAAGAATTAGGCCTTCCAAGTGGAAGTTCTTCACAATGGATTTCACAGCCTAATTTGCCTACTAATCAGCCTTTGATATGGTACAAGGTAACCTCAAATATTTATTAGTTTGTTTTTCATTTATCGAAATTCAACTCAACACAGGAGCCATGATTTCGTGCTTATGCCTTCTGTTATTCATATTATGATAATGAAATTTGCTGATTCATGCAAGAATGAGATAATTCTCATAACACACACACACACACACACACATATATGTACAGATTTTATTTTTTGTTTGTTTGTTGTTTTTTTTTTTTTTTTTTTTTCCTTCAAGAATGAGAATAATTCTCATAACACACACACACACACACACACATATATGTAAGATTTTATTTTTTGGTTTGTTTGTTTGTTTTTTTTTTTTTTTTTTTTTTTTTTTCCTTCAAGAGATTGCAACTGTATTCTTCAGATCCTTTGATGCTATAGCTTTAAAAAATATACAAGTATGCATCTGGTCTTTTTCTTTTCTTTCTTTTTTTTAAGGAAAAAGATACATTTGGTTGATATGATCATTTTGATGAAGCTGTAACAATCTCATTGAAACTAACAAGTAATTACTTTTGATACAGACCAGTTTTGCTGCGGCAGCTGGTGATGACCCCATTGCAATTGACTTCACAGGAATGGGTAAAGGTGAGGCATGGGTGAATGGACAAAGCATTGGACGTTATTGGCCAACATATGTGTCTCCAAACAGTGGTTGCACTGACTCTTGCAGCTACAGAGGATCTTACAATTCAAACAAATGCCTCAAAAACTGTGCAAAACCTTCTCAAACGTTGTAAGTGTGGAGAAGTCTAATAACAAAAAATCTTATCAGAATTGTCAGTTTTGAGTTCTGATATGATAAAAAATGTTGCAGGTATCATGTACCTCGTTCATGGGTAAAACCAAATGGCAACATTCTAGTATTGTTTGAGGAAGTAGGTGGGGATCCAACACAAATAGCATTTGCTACAAGACAGGCTGAAAGTTTATGCTCGCACGTGTCAGAATCACATCCACAACCTGTAGATATGTGGAATACAGATTCAGAAGCAACAAAAAAATCAGGACCTAAACTATTACTGGAGTGTCAAAATCCTAATCAGGTCATTTCTTCAATCAAATTTGCAAGCTTTGGAACTCCACACGGAACCTGTGGAAGTTTTAAACATGGTCAATGCAGTAGCAGCAATGCTCTCTCCATTGTACATAAGGTAATGACTCTATTGTACAGAAGTTTCTTTTGTTAGTATAGAACTTGTTCTGGTTTAAACAAATGAAGGTTAATTTTACAGGCTTGTGTTGGATCGAAGACTTGTAATGTTGGAGTTTCGACCAGTACATTTGGTGATCCTTGCAGAGGAGTGAGAAAGAGTTTAGCAGTAGAAGTTCTTTGTACATGAAATATTGACATATTGCTTAAAACATTCACTTCGCTTGGGACTTAAACAAAGCATTGTCCCCAAGTAAGTGTCAACTTAAATAAGCACTGACTGATTGTCAAAGCAAAATATACGAGCAAGAAGCAAACTATATATATATATATATATATATATATATATTATATTATACTCTGTATATATATACTGTTAACTCTTGGGAGTAAAATCTATCTCTGAATCTACATCCAGAATAATAACACTACCAAGAAAACCATTGGCAAAAAATTCATGACAACAAATTTTCTTTCCTTTATTTATGCATCTAATACGAAAACAAAGCTTATAGGACATAAAATCACATATATAAATTTAGAAACCAAGTTTATCAATCTTTACTTTTACTTTTTTATCAGTATTCAGATAGCTTCAAAGCTGTACTGCCTTTGAAATCTGCAAACCATGCAAAGAGGTGAAAAGAGAGACGGAGTCTTGTACTTGTCCTCTCCACCCATCATTGGCATAGGAACTCCTATCTTGACAGGGCTAACATAATCTGGCCTGTAAGTCTTGCCCAAAACTCCTTCAACAAGATCTGTCAGGTTGAAAAACTTGAACTGTGTCTCCAAGTGAGCAAAAGCATCATTTTCTGGTAATTGGTAGTTGTGAATCTTGTTCTCTTCTTTCCCAATAGGCCTTACCTTTATATTTAGCTCCACCAGCTTAGCAACTGTGACCCTTATAGTATTAACATCATCTGTTCTTTCAACTAAAACCTCTCTTTCTTCACCATTCACCCTCCATTCTGCCTCTCCATCGGTAGGGATGTCAACTGTCTCACCATCCCACCTTACAGTAAGAGCATCAACTTTATCATTCCATTGAGAGACTCTTTTTGCTGCAATGACTAATGTGTGAGTATCAAACATGATAGAGAGGGCTTGCACCCATGTGAAGTCTCTAGTCCTCCCTTGTGGTCGAGTTCCGATGAACTGTGCATTGATCTGTAGACTATCATCAGAGACAATAGCAAAGCTTCCTCCCTTTTCACCATGGAAGTAAAACATAACACCATCACCACCAACAAACCTGGGGTCATAACACAAAGAGCCGTATCCATTGCAATTCGGTCTTCTCCCTGCCAGTAAACATAAATATTAATGTTTGATTAAAAGTTATTGGAATTTGTTTTTAAGACAAATATCAAATGTTCTAACCATAAAAGCTAAAAACAAATTTAAAAATCGTTGCCAAACTGGTTTTCCGAATCCAAAGTGATGCTTTTTCGAAAAGCCAGTTTCAACCACAACGCCAAACATGTGAAGCAGAAGCTAAATACAAGATACATACATATATATATATATATACATTATATATATTATATATATATATATATATATATAGATAAGTGGGCTTACATTTGCAGGTGACTTCACATTTGCTACTGCAATCTATGAAACATCCTTTCTGCTTCTTGGCTTTCACAGGCTTCCTTAATTTGCATTGATCTGGACACACCAAAGTCTTGCCAAGGCAGGCACCTCTAGCTAGGCAGAAAGCTTGCTCATGCCCTGAAGGTGACTTTGGCAACATTTTGTAATGTGTTCTAGCAGGATCTAAGGGGTCTATCTTGTAGGTTTGACCTCTAACGACATAGGCTTCCTTGGAGATAACTACAAAAAAGAAAGCCAGTAGAATATATAACTTTCTTTCTTCCATTGCAGTGTTTAGTGTATGCAGGTCAAGTTGTTCTTTTTATTGCTTCTCTACAGTTGAGTTTTGAGCAATGCAAGTATTGAGAAGAGACGGAGAAGTTAGGCACAAATATATAGGGAGAGAGGGAGTGTGTTAAGCTGCAACTAGCTAGCCAACTAGGCCTTGGATTAAGGCTAAATTTAAGCGAATTTGCTTCTTCCATTCAGCAAAATAGATCACAAACAGCTTTTCTCTGCTATTAATTCTTTGATCAAATGGTGTTGACTATGTTTTTTTAGTTGCTAGTCTAAAATCTAAAAGCTAATCAATGAGTTTTAATGCATTAAAAAAAAAAAACGTCATTACCAAGTAATTTAATCCATAAATTTATTTTTATACTATTGGGAAAAATCTTATGACACCTTCAACTTTTAATTTGATTATTTCAACACTTTTACTTATAAAATTGCATATTACATATTTCAACTTTTAAAATCACTCTATTCAATGCTTCAATTTATAAAATTAGATCTATCAAACATCTATTGAATAGTTGAAAAATATGACAATTATTATTTCAAAAGTTGTACTAACCACACATTAATCAATATTTTCCATATAATAACAAAAATCATAAAAAAAAAAAATGTTATTGATAGTATGGAGAAGTATGCAAGGTCACCGAAGTTCCGAATTTAGATGCATACAATATCCCCTGTAAAAAAAAGTGAAAGCTGTAGCTTCTTGCCACATTGTTATTTAGACAAAAGATTTTAAGGGGAACTTGTTTTTTTTTAAAATTTTTTTTTAAAAAAAAAAAAAAAAAACTTTTTATTTTCGTTTTTGTCATTGTATTTTACACATCAAAAACATAATTTATAACAAATTATAAGTGACTCAAATGATAAGACACACTTAAATTTATCTATAAATCCGTAGAAAAAACACTTATAATTAGGTTGAGTAATAGGTTAATTCAATTCAGGGTCACAAACACAAAACCAAACTTTTCAAGACTGCAACTGAATTTGACATGAGATGGCATCTGAATCGAATCGACTCAAACTGAATCATTGGATTTGTTCATTTTTTATACTCTTAGTTTGATTCAAGTCTACCTGTCTAATTTCTATATAATGGAGCCAAATCGAATAGTAATTTCGAGTCCCATCGAACTAACTCTTGAGCAGACTAACTAAACTGCAATGGGTCCATTTTAGTTCGGTCGGATGATTTACACACCTCTGTAATGGTAACTAGGGAGGAGGAAAGTAGTATTGATACTTGAAATAATAAAAAAAATTATAGAAAGACAATATACGTTTTTTTTCTTATTTAGAAATAGTACCTTAGAATATGATTTAGGTACATAGGAATAGTTGTAAGCAAGAAAGTAGAATCAACTGGTTCTCTTCCTTACGCCTCCATCCATTGACAAATTGGTGAGAATTCAAATTGAATTTGGAAATAAGAACAAAATGAAGCAAATTAAACTAAAGCTAATACCCACTTGGCATTGTGTAATTTACAATTGTCAAACAAATTTTTTTGCTTGATGAATCAATCACAATCCACTTGTAATTTTTGAAAACTTAATTTTAATTTCAACTCATAACTAGAGTCGGTAGAGAAAATCAAAAAAATATTTTCTTTCATGATTATCTGAACTAAAATTGATTAATTAATAATAAACATTTTCTACAGCTTTGCATTTTCAACCATATATTCGTGAATTTGTAACTTAATTATTTTAATGAGCTGTGAAATTAATTAAAAAATTATAAATATCATTGTTAAATATATCCATAAAATTTAGGTTTAAACTAATTATTATAAATATTAATAAAAGCACAAGTAATTGAAAAGACCAAAAAATCGAATTAAAAGATGTACATTGAAGTAGGACCTAATTAAATAACAGTGGTATTGACTGCATGTGATGAGGCATATTGACCGGAAATCTAGAGGCCTTTCCCCACTTTAGTGAATATAAACACATTCTTCAACGAACGATCCTATGTTTCAATTCTTGCTGAGCAAATTACATGAGCTCATGGCCAGCAATGCCAAGGTTTGCCTTTAGACTCGCTCAACAAATATATTGTTTGTATGATAAATAATCTTTCTTAGAAGCAGTTAGAACAATTATTTTAGAGGAGCAAAACGAAATTTTTAATCTTCCTGGAATCAAATGTATTTTTTTTTTTTATATTTCTAAAGATGAAAAAGTAATTTTTTCATGGCAAATTTTTTTTTGAAAAAAAAAAGAAATTTGGGATATCCAAAACCCTTTAGTCTTAGAAAGCTCCATCTCTATTTACGAAGAACACTTATCTATACTTATCACTCGTGCTGTGTTCGTTGAACGAATTGAAATGAAATAAGTAATGAAAATAGATATCCCTATTTCTATATTCGGTATAAAGCATGAAACATAAATTTTGATTTCATTACTTTCTTTGATTACAATAGATAAAATGATAAATCACTAAAAAAAGCCAAATGATCAAAATAAAAAGGATATATAGCATACTTGGTGTTTCATGAATCAACGGAGACTTAGTTTTATCGTAGTATTTTATTTTTATTCTAAGAATTTTCCCTATTTTTTAATATCCTATTTACTCTTGTTTTCTAGTGTACTTCAATATTAAATTTTTTTTTTATTTAATTCTCTCCGATTAGGTTTAGGTGTATTAAAGAATTTATTGATTCAAGATTAAATTTTGGAACTCTTTTAAGTTTTTCCTGATTTATAATATAAACAATATTTTTGCTTTTTAAAAAAAAATGATAATAGAACACATCCCCCTCTTCAATTCGTCAAGCTCAAATTTAAAAACTTAAATATATAAATAATGTAAATTTGCCAAAGTTTTAGCCAACCTAAATGTACAATATTTTCATGTGATGAGGAAACTTTCGATGCATAGGATCCCACAATAAACTGCCTGCAGGCAGCAATAGCGAGGGTTGATAATTGCGATCTGAGAACATTTGACTTTGTAGATATATAATTATATTTACCTCTAATTATATCACCTTGATTCTGGATCTTCTTGAGACTTGAAATACTTTTGAATTCAAGTAGACTGATCAGAATGAATTGAAGAAGAAAATTATTTGATATTACTCCTGCAACAAATAAGCATTTTACCTTGTTCTATTTTAAGTGCTCGTTTAGGATTTTGAAATTATATTAATTATTTTTTTTAATTTTATTCGTATTTATTAGTCAAATTAGAAGAGGAGCATTTAATTTTAAAATGAGTAATTTAGACATTCTACCATATTTTTAGAAAATTAATATATTCTAATTATTTTTTTATTATTATAAAAAAATCAAATGTTGCTATTAAAGTGTAATGAGAGGTATTAAATAGAAATGACATCAACAATCCTTTACAGATTCAGTGACAAGCTGGTTCTGATGCAACTCATGTGGCTCTCACTATTACCCACATGATGTATTTATTAGTAATTCAATTCAATTAAGCATACTTTATGATTACTATTGTTAATATTTTGACTCCAGACAGCAACATTTACAACCGCTGTCATTCTCAATATATATATATATATATTATTGGGCCAAAAACTCTGAAGGAAGTGAATTTCATATACACAAGAAGAAGTAGATATATTTAAAAAAAAAAAAAAAAAAAAAAAAAAGAAATATATAAAAAAAAAAAAAAAAAAAAAAAAAAGAAGGAAGAAGAAGATATGGAAAGGACTGGTAAGATTCTAAAATATAGATATGTAAAGATTAACTTTTGCAGCTCTTATTATTGAATTGAAAATTTATGAAATGTGTAGAACTCTTTAAATCTAAAAACAAGTCAAATATATTGATAACAAGAACTTACATTTTTCCATGCTTTCCATGCTTGCATATATATATATATATAGGTTTACATTAAAGAATAATGTTTCATTCACTTATTTATGTTATTAATTATTTCCTTGATTCAATTAATTTGTATAATTAAAGAGGCTCATTAATTAATCAATCCATCAGACTGTAGCAATAGTCCCTTCAGGTATTGTCGATGAAGATTGAGTTTTCTGAAACCTGCAAGCCTGACAAATAGGTGACAAAAGAGATGGAGTTTTATACTTATCTTCACCACCCATGATTGGCATAGCAACACCAATTTTAACAGGACTTACATAACCAGGCCTATAAGTCTTCCCCAATATTCCTTCCACAGAATCAGATAATTTCTTAAACCTAAATTGTGTCTCCAAATGAGCAAATGCATCATTATTAGGTAACTGGTAATTATGAACTAAGTTTTCTTTCTTCCCAATTGGCGTAACTTTTATATCCATTTCCACTAAACCTCCAATTTTTACTCTTATACTATTTCTGTAATCAGTTCTTTCAATCATTACTTCTCTTTCTTGATCACCAAGAGATCTCCATTCTGCTTCTGCGTTATTAGGGATTGTAATCTCTTCTCCATCCCATTTCGCCATTAAAGCATCAAGGTTACTATTCCATTGTGAAATTTTCTTGGCAGCAATTACAAGATTATGGGTATCAAACATTATGGAAAGTGCCTGTACCCATGTAAAATCTCTTGTTCTTCTTTCTGGTCTAGTTCCAATGAAATGTGCATTGATTTGAAGATTATAGTCTGATACTATAGCGAAGTTTCCTCCTTTTTCTCCATGGAAGTAGAACATTACTCCATCACCACCAACAAACCGAGGATCATAGCACAATGATCCATATCCATTGCAGTTGGGTTTTCTCCCTGTAATTCGACGTTAATTATTAATAGAAGTAAGAGAATGACTTATTCTATAGGCCAAATAGTAAACTATTGTTTAAGAAAAGGTTACTAAGAACTTACACTTGCAAGTTGCCTCACACTTGCTGCTGCAATCAACATGGCATCCCTTCTTTTTCTTGTTGTCCTTAGGCTTCTTTCCAGGGCACTGAGGTGGACATACCAGTGTTTTCATGTTACAAGCTCCCTTTTTCTTGCATTTAGCTCTTTCTTGTCCTGTCTCTAGGGGTTCCATTTCATCAAAGTCGCCATCATCAGAATTGTTGTTCTGATTTCCATTGTTGTTCTGAGTGCCATTGCCATTTTTGTTGTCATTACCTCCATCACCTCGAACAATGGTAGCCTCCGCTGCAAGTAACGCAATAAACAGAGCAACCAAAATGTGTGGCCTTATCTGAGCCATATTAGTTACTTCCTTTTGTTGATTTTTCAAGAATTAGTAGATATAATAAGAAGATATATATAAAGATTATTCTGAGCCATTTTGCTCTGCAAATCAAAGTATTTATATAAGCACCAGTAGGTCTCATAATTTTGATTTGGCTGACTTTGGAAAGTAGATTATTTTCTTGAGAAATAATCGATCTTAAGACAACTTAAAGGTTATATGTTTGCTTCAGTTCATCAAAAGGAGCTTAAAAACTTGTATAAGCAGAAATTTGAAAGAGATGATATTAATTTTAGAGGCTTTAACGTTCAAAAATGATCAAGATTTCATTTAGCAGATGACAATTTTCAATTTGAAAATGGCACATTCAGAGAATGTGAACGTTCACAAGAGCTCTAATATGCCTCTCTTGCTAATTTTGAAATATAAATTGATAAATTACATCTTAAACTTTAATATTCCATTCTTAATATATACATAACTGTAACATTTAATTCCCAATATATAATTTTGTCTTTGGTTAATGAGTTGTTATATTAAAAAATCTTTTTACTTCCGGAAAATAATTTATTCAAAATATATTATTTAGATTTTCTAATATTTAAGATGCAAAATACGGTAACCATCAAATTAAGTTATTTTAAAGAAAAACAACTTTCCCTTTTAAAAGGGAAAAAGGGAAAATACCTTTCGACATTAAAATTTTTCTATTTATTTTAAATATGATATTGAAAATTTTATTATAATTTTATAAACTCGCATTTACATTAATCTATTATTTATTGGTAGATATCATTATCAATCACTATTAATTGCCATCAATCACCATTGATTACCACACTTTATAATTTTTGTATCGTATTTAAAAATAAATTTTTATAAATTTTCATTTTATGATTTTATAGATGTAAATTTCAATATTGTAACCAAAAATCTAAACAATAACCATTTTCAAACAGTTCGGAAAATTTGGTTAATTCGATGGATTCGTCCAGTTTAATTTGTGAATCGAAAATCCATCTTCCGTTAGACAGATAAATTTTAATTTGTTTGGTGATTGGTTCATATTTCTGTTAAAACGTAATTTAATCATATTTAACAAATTAATAGAATCAGAAAACAAATATTAGGCCAAAGTGATTCAATTATTGTAAATGATTCGATAAATTTGATTACATTGGCCAATTTAATTAAATAGACCGATTTGATTCGGCTTGATTAATAAAAATATTAATTCGGCCAATTTAATTCGGTAAAATTCAGGTTGAATATGTTATTCTATTTAAAAATTCCACCTAAATAGACTGAAACGACCAAATGATCATCCATCAGCCAAACAATAAAAAGCAAGTGATTAAGAGAGTAAAAACCACAAATGAGCTATAACTCGATGATACTAGAGTCGTCACCATCGATACAGAATTGTAAGATTGACCTAACGAATCAAAATAAATAGTGAAAAAAACCAAATTAAAATAAAATAAAATAAAAAGAAGTTCAATGTAATTTAACTTTTCTTTTTGTTTAAATAAATTATTTATATTTCAAATTTATTTATTTATAAAGAAAAAGCAATTCCAAACAAGACTGCCTCCAAGGTTAATTCTCAATGGAAGAAATCCAAGTTCCATGCTTGTATGTACGCAATTCCCCTTCATCAATTCATATAAAAAATAGGGCTTGCAAGTTCCAAACCCCCCCCAAAAATGCGATGTTGATCCTTATGACCCGCACAGATCTACTTATTTTCCTATTAATAAATACATGCTACCTTCCTGATATTTTGGTTCATGCACTCCCCCTGTTCATGTGATTGAAAGCTTCCGGAAAACGAAAAAGCATACAAACAAACACAATAATGCATATACTTTAATGCCATGAGATGCTCATAGCTAGATAAGGAACCGTCGGTTGCCATATTCCTTGCTTAAAACTTTAAATCCCAAGCCTAGCTTAGAACTATAACATCCGAAGCCTAGCAAAATATTATCCGCTTTGGACCCAATTCACACGGTTTAGATTAGTAAAATGCATTTTGGGCTTAAAGGTGAGGTTCTAGCCCAAGAATAAAACTGTGCGGGTTGAGCCAAAAGCAGACAATAATTTGCTAAGCCTAAGATGTTACGAAAACAGTTCAGAAGAGGGGGAAATTGTAGCATTAATCCAGGCATAATAGTTGGTTGCCTCCAATTTCAGTCCCTCACAATAAAATTACATAAAACAGCTTATCATAATCCAAATTCCATCAAGGATAAAAGAAAATGTACTAATGTTTGCATTATTAGCTCAAACAGAACAATGGGATCACATTAGTTTATATATATCACCTTATGCATGCAGATGGATGAACTTAGCATGATATGTTTATGGCCAATGTGATTAAATTTCACTGTTTTACCACATATTTCTATATGAAGAAAAGCTTACTTCTTTTCCTTTGATTCTTTGAACATTATGTACACAGATGGGTAACCCGAATGCATATCTGTCATTTGACTTGTAAATCTATACTGCCAACCTAAGAATAACTGACCTTTCGATGGGTATCTGATAATTTAAGTAACAGAAGACTGTAGGTACACAGAAAATTTAATTTCTTTACCCATCTTCATTAGGATAAAAACCGGTTAAAAAGATTATAAAGATGCCAATTATCTGATCGCAACTATTGATAGATGGGAAGATCAATCCTTGGTTTTTCGTCGAAGCTTTGATCTACTGATCCCCCAACTTGGACAATGCTGCTTGAGGCTTCTTCTCCAGCATCACTTCCCATCTTCAAGAAGTAACTGTGCCTGCATGAACATAAAATTAGAACCTCAAATGAGAAATATTTAAAAAAAAAAAAAAAAAAAAAAAAAAAAAAAAAAATTAGAAACTCAAATGAAGATTATATATTTAAAAAAAAAAAATAAAAAAAAAAGAAAAAAAAAAAATAAGAACTGGGGACTGGCGAAAAAAAATATACCATCGAAGTATCGGCTGGTAAGTTTCAGGGATGGAAGTGCAAGTTCCCAGCCAAATTCCGTTTGCTTTAAAAAAAAAAAAAAAAAAGAAAAAAAAAAAAGAACTGGGGACTGGGAAAAAAATATACCATCGAGTATCGGCTGTAAGTTCAGGATGGAAGGCAGTTCCCAGCAAATTCCGTTGCTTTACAGCCACAACTACTTTCTTTTCAGGCACAGCATTTTCCTGAATATGCAGAAATTATCACAAAGGTAAACCATTGGCATACAATAGGCAAACAATATAAATCTTCCCATTTCGATACTATGCTTAAGGTCAATATAAACTTCTGTTAATGCAAAACCATGTAACTCAGCATATCCTTGATTTTCATTTTTCACTTTGTCGCCTTCCAGTAGGGAAGGAAAAAATTGTAAAAGGAGAGCAAGGAGTTCACATGACGAAACCAAAAGAAAAAAAAAATGCAAGCAACCAAAACATTTACCACAGAAAGCTATGTCCTCTAACATCCATATAATAAAAATCATTCATCCAAGTTGGCCTCACTGCTCACTGACCTACAGGTCCAATAAGAATCAAAAGACCTATATTCACTCATCAATTATTTATGGACACTTCTAAGGCTTCTTCCACAATTAATCACAACAGGGAGAACTGTTGTTTCATAGGAACTTCTGTAGAAATGTAGTTCAATGGCTACCTCAAAAGCTCAAAGATGTTTTCAAGATTCTGTTTTAATGGATTATCAGAAGATGGTGTCCGCAATGTAAAACCAGGAAAGTCCAAGATCATCTTCTGTCTTCTATTTTCTATAAGCCACCAAGAAACCTCATGGTGGTAAACTCACCAATTCAATCATCAAAGAGATAATAATAGTACCTAATGCTTTGCATCAGAAACTCGCTCAGGCTAAAGAAAATCATATCATTTCAATCATCAAAGAGGATAATAATAACACCTAATGCTTTGCATCAGAAACTGGCTCAGGCTAAAGAAAATCATATGCAAAAATTCTTGTGAAATCGATCCCACTTCAATACATGTGTTCTACATAGGTGAAGTCCACAGTCTCATTAACAGAAAAAGAAACAATTATCTGATCTTTAAATCCATCTTTACATCATTCTATCTATGATCAATCACTGACTTCTAGAACAGTGCAACAGAACAATTAATGACAATAATATAAATCATTAGGTATAATCCCTTCTTGATTTCAGTTCCCAGCTTATACCCTTGAGTGTTTGAGCAATCAAATCCATCTTACGAGTGCAATGATTAATGATATCTCATAGAAGAGGTCTGTTAAACACAAAGCTTATCACTCCAACTATAAGAATCTAGCTGTGAAAAAATAAAACAACAGGGTTTTGCAAGCTAGATTGAAGACATATTTTTCCAAACAAATTCAAATAAAATCTTGGTCAACTGCACATTTCCAGTTCTAACTTCAGAATTCAGGTTTACCTAATATCAGTTTGGCAGGGCTGTAAATCAGTTAAGCCACACGAGGCTCCGATCGAAAAAAGCTTGTTTGAGCTAATTTTATAAGCTTAACAAGCTGAACTCAAGTTCCAGCCTGTAAAGGGCAATTTTTTTTACTGTAAATTGTAAAGTTGCTGAGCTCAAACTTGATTTTTCAAGCTCAAGTCGAGCTCGAGCAACAAGCTCGGTTTGGCTCGTTTACAGCACTAAAATTTAGCAACAGCAGCTAAGATCTACCCACAGACTCCTCCTACTTGTCAATCGCACAGAAATCACCCTAGAATTGGGAGAGCACAGATAAATCTCCAATCTTACTTATACCTATTAAGGCATTCCACCGAATCAACAGCAAGCATGGTTCACAAGTAAAGGCCATTACATAATGGGTATTGAAGGCAATACATTATTTACCATTTTGTCATGGTGATTTTTAAATCACAGAGGACACAGCACAGTGCAGTTTTTTAAGCCTGTAACAGCCATTTACACACTCTCTTAGTCTGCTATGTGACATTTGTTTCTCATCAGTTCTACAAATGAAAAAGAAGAGTGCAAAGCATAGACAATTCAACCCAAGAGAGAGAAAGAGGGAGGGGGGGTGTGAGACAGGCATGCCTGCCCTTGGTCATTCTTTTTCTCCTCTTTTTTTTTCCCTTTATTTTCTTTTTACAGAGCTGACAACAACGAGCCTCTTTTTGGATTTTATTTGTGCTTGCTATTAGCTTATTTAAATGAAAACAAGGGAAGCATGTGCATTCTTGCCACTCAATAATTTGTAAATCCTCTACAAATTTTAATTCTCACAGTAAACATCTATTGTGATTATTAATGTCTTACATATTTAAATTTCTCCCATGCCTTAAAAAAAAAAAAAAAAAAAATTTTATTAATGTCTTACATATTAATTTTCTCCCATGCTTAAAAAAAAAAAAAAAATAATGAAAATATCCACAATAGCACTGGCCAATATCACTAAAGGTTTTTGACTTGAGCACCAACTATAATGACAGTCCTGCTATCAAAAATGCCTTAAAAAAAAAAAAAAAAAAAATCACAATAGCACTGGCCAATATCACTAAAGTTTGACTGTAGCACAACATAATGACAGTCCTGCTATTCAAAATGCTGATGCAACCAAACTATTACTGGACTCTGAAAATTATATGGTGTCTAAAACTAGTATTAGACACCATGTCCTGCCCAACAACTTGAACAAACAAATTAAGAGTCAATCTCAGCCATATATCTATAATCTCTTCATAAGGTATATTTAATACATAACCTAACCAATCACATCTAAGACATATAAGTTCCAATTATTAATTTTCCATATCTGAAGGACACTTCAGTTCCTTTTAGAAAGTCTCCACTCCAGTTTTGGCAATCATCTCTTGTCAAGTTTACATGGCTGAGTGAGATACAACAACAAAAGAATGCAGTTCAGCTAGAAAAACACCACTTCATGGAAATTTAATTCCCCAGTGATCTCTCACACAAAAGAAACCCCTTCAAATACCACGACACAATCATAAATGTTACTTTAAACAAGCAACATTCCAGAATAAATCATATTCTAACAGTGAAATTTCTTACTTTTTTGCCATTACAATGGACAGGCAAGTACTAAAGGGAAAGATCAAGTAAACACATTCAGTAAATACAGCCTAATTAAATATCAATATGAGCCATAATATTCAACAAAGACAGGAAACAAACAAGAGATTTCAATAGAGGAAGAGAACAAAAGAAAAACCTCTTGGATTTGAACAGCAGAACTTGAATACAAAACATTGGTAGATGGAACTGGATACTCAGCCAGCACTTCAACTCCAGGCCCAACTTCAATAACTGCAGGAGCACGAATGAAAACTCCACGGAATGTTTCCGGGCCACCTTCCTTAGTTACAAGATCTGGAACTGAAAGATCTGCCTCAAAGCTTTGAATCTGAGCATAGGAGGGTACAATAAGTAACATAAAGCTTCCAAACCTTCAAATGTTCAAAATATGAGTCCCTATGGTGAATTAGCAAGTGATATATGATATGGCCTTGATACTCTTGCTTTCGAAACAAAAATACAATTAAGTGGCTACAGTACTAATATTGACTCTAACAGCTGCAATGTTCAATAGATATAATCATATACTACTAATGCATCTGTTTGTCTGCCATACATTTTACAAAAATTTGGAAGGAAATCATTCACTATGAATGTCAGCATAGAAGATATTTGCACTACTGCAAATATATATTGATGAATGTCAGCATCAGAAGATTATTCTCACTAGCTGAAATATATTATATAATATTAATATATATATATATATATCTATATAGATATATATGATTCATATATAACATGAGAAATAATACAGTATTTATATATCAATAATATGAATTAGAGGTCAAAATAAACCAAAACTGAAATGCTTGTTATAAACTCCAAATTTTCAACTTTACAGTAATTCAAATCTTGTCACAATGTAATTCTGCGCTCTGAATATGCTAGCTGCAATACAGGCTGGTGATGTACAGTTTTAAACATATATATAAGAAAATAATTACAGTTATTTTTATATATCAAAATATGTAATATTAGAGAGTCAAAATTAAAACAAAAACTAAAATGCTTGTTATAAACCTCATATCAAATTTTCAACTGTTACCAAATTCAAATCTTTGTCACAAGATAACTGAATATGCTACTGCAATACAGGCTTGTGATGTAAGTTTTCAAACATGTTTTACTTAACTTTTTTACTTGCTCAACTTTCTTTGTTGCTATTGACCAAGGTACAAACTGGACATATTGTAAAATTTTACCTGACTGCCAAAATAATTCCTATGGACAGTGCAATCCAGGCCACCAATCAATTCTTGTCCTCCAGTTTTCTGCCCTGAAACCGGTAGACTACTCATTTTACATTCGAAACCAAAGAACGCAAGTTAACCTATTGTCCCCAAACCCTTGCATAGACCTCTAAAATTTAACTCTGATACAGTAAAACAAGATAAGGAATAGAAACCAACCAAAAGCCTTATCCGCCAAGAAGATGAGACCTGCACATGTTCCCCATACAGGCTTTCCTTTCTTAACAAACTCGCGCAAAGCAGGGAACTGCAATTGAGAAATGAACAGCTAAACCCATCAGATAATTCATTTATAAATCCACATTTTCATGTTCGATGTTAACGAAAATTTCATTTAGAATGCTACATGTTAATTCTATGGACTTGGTTAAGCTTGAACCAAATTCTATCGGAATTTCTGAAATTTGCAAATGAACTCTAAACTTACCAAAAGCACAAGCTACTAAAGCTAATGAATTCTAAGTATAAAGCTACATATTTAAAATCAATTTTTAGTTAATCTAAACAAGAAAATTCACTTGCAAAATGAATTTTCTAATAAAATCCATTTCCAAATGGGATGAAATCAAAAATGGATTTACTCCAAAAACTGTGTGAAAGAGAAATTAGAAAATTCACACTTAACATGCCGAACAAATATTGCAAACAAAAATCACCAACAAAATAATAGACCATAAATATTTTCTGCAACTGATAAAGGACATTGCATAAATTTGCATCACTCGGAAACGTAAACGTTAGAGAGAGAAAGAGAGAGGGAGTGACCAAGTTGTGATACTCGGCGAGCTTAGCCATAGTAGTGCTTTCACCGCCAGGAATAATAAGAGATGTAACATTATCCAGCTGCTCTGGCTTCCTTATTTCCACTCCTTTGACACCCAATCTTCTAAGCGCTGCCAAAACATATGCAAACAAGAAATGATTCAGATATAGTAGAGCAGTACATAGAAGAAAATAAATATGAAAAAATAAAGAAAACTAATTTGAATAGAAAATGTTTTAAGGAAACATAGGAAGAATGCCTGCAACGTGTTCGTTGAAAGAACCCTGAAGAGCGAGGACGCCAACAGCCATTGGTCTGGAAAGAGCTGGCGGCTAATAGCGTTCGATAGAGAGAAAGAGAGAGTCGTAAAATTTTGGAAGTCTCGAACCTTTCGTTTCTTATGGCGCTCGTGGAAAAAGACCCTTTACCACTCCCTCCCACTCTTCCTTTCTCCTGTTTTTTGGTAAATTACTTTTTAGTCCCTAAATTTAAGTTAAATCAACTTCTTCATACCTATTTTTTGATAAATTTTGGTTCCTAAAGTTTTAAGTTAAATCAACTTCTTCATACCCATTTTTGATAAATCACACATATTCTTCCTCATGCTTCACGGCCATTAAGTTTAAAAGGGATTATTACTTATGTAGTTCCTAGATTTTGTATGAATACACTAATAAGGATCTTAATTTTTAAAATTATATTATTTAGTCCCTATAATGAAATTTTATTACATTATAAAGTCCAATGGTTAGTTTTTCATTAAGTGATTTTGAAATGGTCACAAGTACTCCTAAATATAATTACTATGTAGTCCCTATAGTTTGGTAAAATACAATAATAAAGACCTCAAATTTTTTAATTTTATATTATTTAGTCCTGTATAGTAATTATCGTCGGGATGTTCTTGCTATTTCACAATTACTTAATAGAAAAACTATTACTTAACAGAAAAAACTAACTCTTGGATCTTATAGTGTAATAAAATTATAATGTAGAGACTAAATAATATAATTTTAAAAACTGAAATTATTACCGATATGTTTATAAAAACCTAAGAATCATATTGTAATTACACCAATTTAAAAATTCCATAGTCTAAGATTTATAACTTTTACCGTTGGTGACAAAGAAAATACATTTTAATGGTAAAAATATCCTTAGTTGGCTTAACAATGCTCATTTGCTCTAAGCAAAATAGCAATATCCTCACTGCATCAAATTGGCTTAATGCTACTATCTTTCATAACCAATAAGCACAATCTTTATCTCGGTCTCATTGCACGATGCTAATTCAGGATTGATTGAGAAATCATCAGAGCCCTTAATTTTTTGTTTCAAAAACTTATTTTGCCTACTTTTATTAAACCCACATCATCAATATCATCACTCAGTAATTATAGCTCACAGAGATTAGAGAAAATGAGAATTACGATAAATTTGTATGTGAGAGTGTTGAAGTCGGCCCAAACTAAAGGCCTCACTTGATAAAGCTTGAAAAATGCCAAGAGGGTGATTTAGGCCTAATACCTTTAAATTGTAATATTGCATATATTTATGACATTTTTAGATTTTTGTATGATTTTCTAGAAGATGACCTTCCTTGGAGGGCACTCTTAGAATCTCTGTAAATAGAAAGAAGTAATGCTATAAATGAGATGTGAATTTATAAAAATAAACTCAAATGTCCCGTGTATTCAAGTCACGATGTGTCTCTATTTTTTCAATCCCATAATTTCTTATATTTCTATGTTGTTCCTCTTATTTTTATTTTTCCCTCTCCTAAACTCTTCTTAATATCATCTCTTCTTTTCAAACTAAATAGGCTTCAGCCCGTTTGTCTACTTATCTTAATTTACTTTTAATAGATGCAGGCCCAATAAATTTATAATTGTTTCTGACCGAACAACTTTTATGGCATGCTCAGCGGAAAAAACTAGAGTTTTATTTAAAATATCGGGATAATAATGAAATCGACTGATACTATTAAAAAATTTCACGTGCTCCATCAAAGCTTTAACCTTTAGAATAAACAAATCGGTTCATCTAATGATTTTTGCTGACATATTTGAAAAAGCCTTTTGCCCGATTGTGGAAGACATATGGGCAGCCCATGCGGACATGAAAAATGTTTATAATGGACCTACATGATAATATTGGCCTTTTTACGAATTATTGTAGCAGAATGGACAGATTGTAACGACTCGGTCGAAGATTGACTTAGGAATCACTACCTTTGATTGTTTTGCAAGCGACCGATCTAAGATTATGATCTATGCTTGGGAGCATGGTTCAACATTAGGACCAAATGAACGACCGAATAGAACAAAATGCTGCCTTAGAAATACAATGATCATAACTTAAGAGTTATAAAGAATTGAATCGTGAGGAATTCGACCAATCCCAGACAATTGACTTAGTGGACAGCTCTTACTTACCACAAGGAGAAAAGAACTATCAAAGCTAACTGAAACTAACACGGATAGTTAATGAGGGCTACGAGTTCGAGTACATGAAAGTAATAAGCTATTACAGTAACGACAAACTTGGTAGTAATATGTTAGTTTTTAAATTAGATTTGTGTTTGAATCGAATATTAGTTAATTTTCATGTATTATGTAGATGTGACTTGTTTTGTACTATTAATTGCTCTGTTTTGGTGGATAGTTAATTGTTTAACGAGACTTTTAGTTGAATTGCAAATTTTAAATTACTAATCTAATTAATCATTACGAAAAATATAGATAGAATAACGAGTATGATTTTGAAATTAGTTCGAGTTTTTCTGTTTGGTCTGTATAGTGAAATGCGTGTATTCTTTAACTATATTAATTTTGTAGAATATGAATGGTTTTTCATTAGTTGCTCAAAATATTATAATTAAATTATTGAAAAAAAATTATGAATAAATTAATTCGTATGAAGTATGTTTAAAGATGGAACATTGTGCATTTGTACCGTGACAAAAATAAAAGCAACTAATTATAATAATTAATTAAATAAATTTACTACAAAATTTTTATACAACAAAATTTATACGGTACATTTCATAATAATAATGACATTTCATAATTTATGTTATAGAATGAACAAAATGTAATTTATATTAAAATAAATTACAAACAATGTTTCATATATATAGTGTAAAAATATAAATTTATAAAAATACAGTTTTATTTTTCATCTATTATTTTTCGCTTCCCAAACAAAATAAAATAAATTTATTTTACTGCTTCCCTTTTATTTTTTTTTTCAAACCAAATAAAGAGTATAAAATAAGGAGGTAAAATAAATAATACTTGCATTAATTTTCGCATTTTGAGAGGAGGATATTCCTGTTGTATACAGAAATACACAGTTAAAATTCTTTAGGGGTTGACACTTGCGAACAACTGTGAAGGTGAATGATTAAAATAAAAGAGAAATTTAACCTTATGTGGACTTGGTCAATCATTATTAAATTAATTACTAGTTTGGCTTTTTTTGTTTATTTATTCAGCGTAAGTGAACTAATTCCATTGGTGCAACGAACCGTATTGTCCGAGACTTCTGTTGGTTACAGGTAGCACTTGATCTGATTTGATAGGAGCTTTGAAGGTGAAATGTTATTCTGATATTTCTAATTAGCCAGTTGGCTCGAATTCAATGGTTCAAAGAGCGAACCCTGTGGACTGTACTTGTGAGGACAAATTGTCACCGATCCAATCCATCACACCAATTGAAAAGGAAACCCACAATCAATTTCATTTTTATTTTTCATAATAAAATTCAAACCCAACACTACAATTGATTTTTATAATAAATACATGTAAATCATATTTTTTGACAAGTAATTTCTAAGAAAATAATATTTATATATATATTGACTCCTCAAACCCAACACTTACAATTGATTTTATAATAAGATACATGTAAATCATGATTTTGTTGACAAGTAATTTCTAAGAAAATGAATATTTTATAATATATGATCCTCAAAAAAAAAAAAAAAGCAATCCATAGTATATATAATATATTAGTATATATATTTACCGAGAAATTTATCATTTAACATATATATATTTACCGAGAAATTTATCATTTCAACCAATGAAAAATATATTATTTTAATTCAAACAAGATCTTCAAAAATGTGAAATATAAAATTTCATCGCATCAACTATAAACAATCACGGTTATGATTAAAGGTGAATATATCGAATTTACAAGATTTGATTTATTAATTTATTAATAAAATATTTACTGTTTATAACCGATTTTATACATTTAATTTAATGAATTAAAATTTTATTGAATTACCGGTAAAGTTATGCCATTTATCGAATTAATTGATTTATTATATTAGGGTTGACCTTTTTTTTTAAAAAGGAAAATTTTTAAATACCATCATTTTGAGTATATTAGTATATTAAAATTTTCTTTTGCTTATATATTTTGTCAAACCATTTACGATTACCATTTATTGTATAAATTTTAGCCATTTACCATTTATTGTACAATTTTAAAATAATTTACTGTACTATTTACTATTTTACTGAATTGTTTTTAAGGAACAACCTTTATTCGAGTTGCAAAGCCGGTTTTGGCCAGATCTATCTATCTATGAAGAGAAAAATTGAAAATTTAACGTTCTTTATTTGTTCAACATTTCATTTTTCTTTTTTTAGAAAATTTTAAAGTTTTTCTTTATTTTTTTTATGTTGTAATTGATCAACTTAAGTATTTTAACCAATATTTTCTTATAAATTATATATATTTAAATATTTAAATTATTGAATTTCATCTATATATAATAATTATCTCCCAGTATTCGAGTTGTATTTAAATACCACTAGAGGTGCAACAAAATTTATCCAATAAATTTATCCAATGTTTGAGTTGTACTTTAAAGGTATTTGAGTGGTGCTTAAATACCACTTACATTAAGCTTAAACATTTAAGTACCATCTAGATAAAGTTTTAATTTTATTACCTCCAACTCGATATAGATAAATATAATTTTATATAAATATATGATTTAATTAATTTATTATATTTTTAATTTTCGTTTAAATTCTAATTATAGGAATTTTTTTTTTAAATTTGAAGATAAAACAAAAAATAGTGAGTAAAAACTTGCTAATTAACATTGTATTTTAATTGTTTGAGTAATATACACTTTATTATTTAATTATTTTTCAAAAACCACAGAGTATAATTTCTTCCTCTTTTAATTTGACCATCTATGATAATCATCTTTATACCAAGTTTTGTATTTTTTTTAAATATTTATATGTTTGTTTATTTCTTTAATTATTTTGATAGATACAATCGTATTAAATTTTATTATTTTTTTTGGATTTTAAAATATAAAACAACAATAATTACATATCATTTTGATATTTACCATTATTAATTATTTCAAGTAGAAAATTTAATTTTTCTTTCTAATAATTTGATTATTCATAATAATTTAACAAAACTAATAATATAATCAATTACAAACAAAATAATGTTTAAATCGACTATTTTCCTAATACAGGTGAGTGATTCTTAATTTCTAACTGAAAATCGAGTTAAATAGTTATTTTAAAAATTTAATTATTGATCTTTTTAAAATATAAAATCATATTGTTTTTGATTTTTGGTTTAATTATCATATATAACTTACCAAATTTATTTAACGTATTTGATTTGGAATAACTGAAACCATATCGAATTAATCCATTTAATTCAGTTAGATCAATTACTATCTAATTTGATTTTAAATTTAAATACCATAAAAATATATTTAGATAAATCAATACTAAACTAATTTGGTTAGATTAACCCAATGCTCAAACCTAAATTCCTAGTCATGCCTTCATTGTACAGAGGGAAGCGACAAGGGAAAAACATATCGCTATTACGCACGTCGGGTCACAGGCTCACATCTTCACCAGATAGATACTATTCGATGAGAATTTTTCTAACTTTGTCTCCAATAATATATTCTTAATTTGATTTATTTATTTATTAATTTTTTAACATTAGTATTACATATTCTCCAAACGAACCTTTCCTTTCAAATTTAGTTACGCCCACATGTACTTTCTTCAACTTCCAAAATACCCCCTTTCAACTATCAATCAATTTTTTCTCTTCAAATCTTGCTCTTTTAGGGTTTTTGTTTTTGAAGTTAGTTTATTGATATCTTCAACAACCCCTTTACATATCTCTGGGTTTTAGAATTTGGATTCCATTCTGTTCTTTTCTCTTTCGATCCATAGTTTAGGGTTTTTTTTTTTTTTTTTTTTTTTTTTTTTTTTTTTTTTTTAATTTGAATATCCTTCAACCAACCCCTTCTACATCATCTCATGGGTTTGTTAGAATTTGGATTCCATTCTGTTCTTTTCTCTTTCGACTCATAGTTTAGGTTTTTTTTTTTTTTTTTTTTTTTTTTTTTTTTTTTTTTTTTTTTTTTTTTTTTTTCCATTCTCTTGATTCTTGAAGATTCGTCGGCGTTTCTGTTTAAGCCTTAAGGTTTGATTTTTTTTTTTCTTTTGAAAATTAGTGCAGTTTTTGGTCGTTCTTGATAACATCTTAGAAATCTATCTAACTTTGTGTTTGTATTTTTTTTTTCTATGATGAAGGTAATAGTTAAGTTGTTTATAATAATTTCTATTTGTTTTGTTTGGAAAGACCAACGTATTATTTTTGTTGCAGATATAGGTATACCCTCTGTTGGTTGATTAAAACTGGAGTTATCAGCATGTTTGGCTCCGGCATTAGCAGATTTAATATCATAAATTTTTTCTTCCATTTGGCTGAATGGCCTTAAAAGAAATTGCAATTCACGTGTTTTTCTATGTTTATGCTATGGGAAATAATAATGGTAAGGACAATGCTTTACATGCAAATAATCCTTAAAAGAAATTGCAATTCACGTGTTTTTCTATGTTTATGCTATGGGAAATAATAATGGTAAGGACAATGCTTTACATGCAAATAATCCTTAAAAGAAATTGCAATTCACGTGTTTTTCTATGTTTATGCTATGGGAAATAATAATGGTAAGGACAATGCTTTACATGCAAATAATCCTTAAAAGAAATTGCAATTCACGTGTTTTTCTATGTTTATGCTATGGGAAATAATAATGGTAAGGACAATGCTTTACATGCAAATAATCCTTAAAAGAAATTGCAATTCACGTGTTTTTCTATGTTTATGCTATGGGAAATAATAATGGTAAGGACAATGCTTTACATGCAAATAATCCTTAAAAGAAATTGCAATTCACGTGTTTTCCTATGTAACTGTGAACGCCATGTAAGTTGTAACAAGCTTTTGCACAATTTTTATGCAGAGGAGAATTCTTTTTCCCTCTGGTTCTAACTGTTTTACTGGTAGCTATATATTGTTGCTTTTTGGGTTTATTTTCTATTAACTTAAGGTAAATGTATGCTTTGCAGAACTAGGAATTGGTTTCCTTTTCGTGATTGAAATTCTGGTAACTGCTTGAAAGTTTTGTGCTTTTGATGTATCATAAGGACTATTCACTTGCTAGAGTAATGGGCTGTTGCAGCTGTTTTGGGTTCTCCTGGAAGCCCAAACGGAAAACAACACCCATTTCCAGGAGGAATCACAATCTCTCCCAGGAATTGTTTTTGGATGAAGAAATTGAATATGAGGAAAATGGCTCATATAATGGGGACATTACTGACAATGCTTATGGGGAGGACAGTGAGTTTCCTACCTTTGTCAAACATGCAGAAGAGATTTTAAGAATTAGAGAACAGAATGGAATGGTTTGCAGGCAATTTCCTGTCAAGGAAACCCATAAACTTGTTCGCACAGAGGTAACAGGGATTAATTATTGTGTTATTTGTCTTTTGCACATAATTGTTTATACTCTATGCTATTCACTTTATTGTGTTGGTTTAATATTATGAGCAACTAAGAAAATCTATTAAAATTTCAAAAATAATGTAGTCCAATCCTGGTAGATACCCTTATTTGATACTTTTATGAGTTACTAGTAGCATATACTTTACTTAACAGACTTGCATATCAGAATGAATAATTTCTGCAGGACTTAACAACTGTTTGCTGCATATTTGCTTCTTTGATTCCTTCCATGTACTGCATGTCTGTCCTTAATTTGCCATCTGAGTCGTTCCTTGTTAATTTGAACTTAAAACATTCCCACAGCCTTTTTCATCACCCTGGACTGGCTTTTTGCATCCAACATTTGTGATATTTTTATTTGATAGAATAACGTCCTAAAGGTCATATGTATGTGTTAATTGCTTGTTATCTTTGTCTTACAAATTTTTATGCATACGTAGCCTTGTTCATGCTGGACAGCTATGCACTGTGAAATTAGCAATAAGTAGTAATAATGAAAATTTGTTTGTTTGACTGCTTTTGCAGGATCAAGATGGTTATAAGATGGTCAATGAATACGTTCGGGAGCATAAGATTGGTGCTGGGAGCTATGGAAAAGTGGTATGCATAGTGCTGGAATATAGTTTATCGTAAGAACTGGTTGAAGTAATTGATGTTTAGTTGTTTGGCATTGCTCATCTTACAGGTTTTGTACCGGAGCACTATAGATGGAAAGTATTATGCAATTAAGGTAGCAATACAGCTTCATCATCTATCCCACTCCTTTAAACCCAAAATATAGGGGGAAGGGGAGAGAATGAAAGTGTTAATTTCTGCCTTGGGCAGATTATAATGCAATATATATCTGTGTATCAACTGTCCATTCATTATTTCTATGATTACATGTGAGGTTATCTGTGATTTGGGTGTACTTTTAAGAACATGGCTGTTCACTTCTGAATAATAATAGTCTAGCATTTCTCTTTAGTTCATCTGGATATAGAATTGCTGGATAATTGTGATATTTGGTGCGGTTCTTCTAATTTTTGTACCATTTAGAGGTTCCTCCCGGTTAAAAATGAGTTTGTATTTTTGAATTGCAGGCTTTTCACAAGTCTCACTTGTTGAAGCTGCGGGTTGCACCTTCAGAGACTGCAATGAGCGATGTTCTCCGTGAGGTATCTTCTTACTATCTTGTTTTGTGATATCAATGCAGTGGCAAGTTGCATAATCAGCGTTAACTCTTGGCAATACCTTTTTTGATTTTCCATGAGGTACTTGCTATACTTTAGTTCATTGGTGTAAACAATTGGGAGGAAAAAGAGGCACCTTAATATGCTCTCTTTCTCTCTCATTTTCTTGGGAGGGGCTGGCTTTACTGTTACCTTGTTTTGCATATATTTGTGACCAAATATTACTGCCTGTATAGGGTTCATAATGCTTCTTATAGCTAAATATCCAGCAAAATATCCAAGAGGCAAAAAATATCAGGATGTTCTATTATACTGTCTCATATTGGACATTCTATGTTCAAGAGCTTATTACTAACCTCATATGGCTGATTCTGTCCATGTTCATAATAGATTTGGTAATCTGTTTAGTTATTCATTATAAGTTTACTCTACCGTCGGATGAGGTTACATATTCTAGTGTTTTTCCCTTCTCTCTTTGTAGGTTCTAATCATGAAAATGTTGGACCATCCTAATATTGTCAATCTCATTGAGGTGATTGATGACCCAAACACAGATCACTTCTACATGGGTATTTATAACTACATTCTTTGTGCTTCCTACGTTTTTATTTGACCTTGCTTATGATATTCGTGCTGAACATTGTGTTTTTTTTACTACATACGTACGAAGATCTATGTTATTAGTTTTGTTATTGACTGCAAATTTGTTTTCTTTTCCAGTTCTTGAATATGTAGATGGAAAATGGTTTTCAGCAGATACTAATTCTCCCGGTGTAATTGGAGAAAACACTGCTAGAAAATACTTGCGGGACATTGTATCTGGGCTAATGTATCTCCATGCCCATGTATGCTCCTTATAGCACACATGCAATATTATGTTTTTTTACTCAACATTCTTGTCTAAATATGTATTCTTTGCATAAGTAATCTTATTTTAGTTATATGTATGACCGATTTTCACATGGTATATACATAATACTAGGAACAATGGTGTTATCCTGAAGTCTTGAAACTAATGTTTTTAGAAGTACATTCCTGTATATCACTATGTTTTTAGTTAATGGTATGCCTTCCTCTTATTCTTGCAATAGTTCCCTTTTCTTTCATGTTTGAAAGGCTGAAATAAATTTAGCAATATGAGCTCCCAAGATGGAAGCTGAAGTTGAATTCAAGTTAAGTGCAAAGCATGTGCCCTACTTTTTATCTCGACTTACAGAAGTTGGACTATGAGTACTTTAAATCAAGGTTTCACGTGTTGCAGGAGTACCAATTAAAGTCTTTGCATTTATGGTTTCCCAAATCTATGTATTTAACGATTGGTGTTTTATTCTTATGATTTTGCTAAGTTTTAGCATTGCATGTTGTCTTCTCTGCATCTATGGCAGTGGCATGCTGAACAATGAGCTGTAATTTTTGAAATATAATTTTATTTGGGTCTAATTAATCGGATTTCTCTGTTTCAATTGGCTTATGTTCAGTATTGCTATTCGGCTTTACTAGTTGGCTTGAACTACTTTTAATTTCAGCTGTTTCGATATTAATTACCACATTACTAGAGTATTGAAATTATTAAATAATTAATTACACTAGTGAAAACTTGTATCAGGGGAGAGGATGGAAGTTAAAATTTCTATCTTCATGATGATTATTGATTAGAGATGATATAGAAATTATGTATGTCAATTAGCTCTGTGATTTCTATGTCCTGTTCAAGATTTTTTTGTGGATTTTTTATTTCTTTCTTTTTGTACAATATCCTCTCCTGTGATTCAGAGAAGTGTATTATATAGTCTGTATATTGAACTTTGTTTCTTGTCTTTTTCTGTTACTTAACAGAATATAGTGCATGGTGATATTAAACCTGATAATCTTTTGGTCACTAGTTCCGGTACAGTGAAGATAGGAGATTTCAGTGTTAGCCAGGTATTCGAGGTAATAAAACCGCTTCTTGTCAATTTATTTTAAAAAAATGCTTGTGATGGACACAAGGGCTTTGACAATATTCTGTGATATTTTTGTTAAATATATATAAAAAAAATGCTTGTGATGGACACAAGGGCTTGACAATATTTTTGGATATTTTTGTAAATACTATATATAATATATATAATATTATATATATAATAATATATTTGCTTGGTATTATTCATTATATATATATATATTTGCTTGTGTTATCATTGCTGTTATTATATTGTTATTTTTATCACTATTATTTATGTTCGGAGGTTTGGAAGGTCCTAATTTAAATCTCATGCTGTATGAAATTTTTTGAACTTTATAGTTTATTGATTCTCATTATATTCTTAAAGGAACAGCCATTTGTGAATGGTGATAAGGTGCACCTGGTTGTTGCCACCAAGTATCTTACTCCTATTAAGCTCAGTGGTATTATTGCTGATGGAATATTGTTGCCATAATGTGTTATAACCCTTGTCAGAAGTTTTTTCTTGTGTTTTCCATTGTCTTCTTATCCTGTTCTGGGATACTTCTTGTTGAATATGACTGCTGCTAATTTTGGGTTCTGCAGTGCAAAATCATTTGAGATTATTAAAATAAGGTTTAGATGTTTTGCTTGTGAATTGAGGAACTTTAAGTTCACAAAACTTTTTGAGACATATCCCTAAATGCAATTCAGATGATCCCTGTCTTGCAAATATTGGTTGACGTCTTTTACAATTAGACTTGATGATAGGTGCTGCTATTTTGGATGTGTATTCTATGCTAAATAAAGGCCTTATTCTTGCTATTGTGGTACCAAAAAAGTCCTTGCTCAAATAAAAATGCATTGTATACTGGTAAAGAAACATAAAGCATTTGTCCTAGGCATGGATGTTTTGTTTTCCTGCTTTAGTTGTTCAGCTGACTATCAGAGAACCTAAGCTCAATCTAGAATGGTGCTGTATATTTAGATACACAGATAATTGATGTGTCATTGAATTACCATCGCTCAATGCAAGTCTCTGACGGATGCATGTGTTGGTGAGAAAACAATGTTTTTCTTTCCTTGATTATTGGAAAGGTACAATTTTGCAGTATAAATTGATAAATGGATAATTTGATGTTTGAAAATTAGTATACTTTTTGTTTCTTTTCATAAGCAGTTCTATTTCCTGTACTTGTCTTTTTTACATCATGTGTTTTTGCAGGATGATAATGATGAGCTTCGCCGATCTCCTGGGACCCCTGTTTTCACTGCTCCTGAGTGCTGTCTAGGTAAGGTTTCTGACTGATAAATGCTTTACATGTTTAGAATAAAAGAGTTCTACAGGATTTTGTGGAATCCTTGGCAGTTGCTTATGCTTGAATTAATGAATTCTAGCATATTATTCATTTCAATTTCACAATTTTGATACAACTGAACCATTTTGCATCAAACTAACAACATTTTGTAAGCCATAATTGAATGTAATATAATCAAATGCATTTTAGTGTAAACATTACACTAAAAATGCATTTGATCACATTACATGGTATCCATTATGATTTCCCAAACATATCCTAAATGCCTCAGCAATCTATTGCTGTTTTCCTTTCCCCCTTCACTGCCCTCAGCAATCAAAAGGTTGCCTTGCTCTCCTCTCAGAGAAGTTTCATAAATCAGACATCTCTTTTACCCTCTCACCAAAATTCTCAGCTGTTTCATCATACAGGGGAAGGTTGAAGTCAATTGAAAACCTGTGACACATTTCAAAAATGACACACATTGGCTACAAAATGACACTTCAAACTGGACTACAACTGGCCAGTGCATCACTGCCCTCCCTAAGCTTAGCCTAAGACACTATTATTCACATTAGCAATGTAGCATTTGCCTTTGATATAGAAACTATCCTGGTTTTACTGAAACTTCATTTGAATGAACCCATTTGCTCTCCATTTTGGGGTGACTAAATTTGCGGGCCTTGGTGATTACTTTTTAACCAGATTTTCCCTGCCCTGCTTTTAATTCCCAAACAAGAGAAAATTACACTCTCCACCTTCCACTTCCTTTTCTCCATTCCCCAAATAATGTATTTGTCTTCACTTATCTTTTCAACTAGCTCAGCACATCTACTGTATTTTAGGAAGGGCAAATGGAATCGAAATCTAGTTTTGGTTAGTTTCGTTGAATACTATAAGATTTAGTTTTTGGAAGTGAAATGTACGTATTCATTTATACCAAACATGGAAGTATAAAATTCAAATGAATTTTACATAAGCGAAATTCTTTTATACCAAATGGGGTCTAGTTCATTCTAATGGTAATGAATTTGGTACTTGTATGTAATTGGTTTAAACATAGTGCAGCAACTGATGCTTGAAGTCGTTGGAGGGATTTGTTTAAAAATTATTCCTTGATTTTTCATCTGATCCAACAGGCCTGACCTATCGGGGCAAAGCTGCCGACACATGGGCAGTGGGAGTGACTTTATACTGTATGATTGTCGGAAAACACCCATATATTGGAGAGACGCTGCAGGAAACATATGACAAGGCAAGAAAATCTCCCTTTCAGAAATTGATTTATTCATTTTGTGTTCCAATGTAACCGCTTGACAATTGTCCTTCCCCTCTCTCTCCAGATTGTTAACGACCCTTTAGAGCTCCCAGATGAAATGAACCCACTGCTGAAGGACTTAATTGAAAGACTTCTTTGCAAAGGTGAGTTTATTATTCATAGCCAATAATTTGCACATCCAATTGGAGCTATCGAGATTCCTTGTGGCCTTGTTTTCTTTTTCATTTCCCTTGCTCTGTTCTGAATTGAGAATTGTTCTGTGCAGATCCAAAGCAAAGGATAACATTAGATTCTGTTGCTAAACACAGTTGGGTTATTGGAGACAATGGGCCAATCCCTCAGTATCTATGCTGGTGCAAGCGAAATAGCATTCAAAGGCAACAATCTAATGGAGCAGCAAATTCGAAACAAACATGAGATCACGGAATCAGTAGAGACTCTTCACTGACTAAATTGGTTTTTTAGTAGTTTGGACTTGTTCATATATATTAGGAAAAGAAACACTGTGCTCCATTTTCAATTTTTTTATTTTTCTTTCAATTTTTTACTCGGTGTTATCGGAGAATGAGTTGAAACTTGAAGGAATGGATCTAAGCTCTGGTGATTGAATGTTGAAAAAAAAGTAAAAACAAGAAAAATGGAAAGACTGCAGTTCTTTTGGGAGTTGCCGTAGTTGTGGTAAAATATTTAATTTTTGTATTTGACCTGGGATTGGAAGTATGATCTGAGTTGAGTTCTTGTCTGATGTAAACCTGTTATCTTTGTCATGTTTGTTTTTTCTCCTTTTTTTGTTATTTGATTGGCGATGAGCCTACAAATTTGTAAATAATGGGGCTTCCACAGCAAATTCTTGTTTGCTGCTATTTTATCTGTTTGTTCATTATAATGAAAAATGTATGATAGTTCATTTGTTTTCTACAAGTATTATGTTCAACCAAATAAGAATTATTCTATTTATGTTTTTATATTTTAAATAATTTAAACTTATAATATATTGTGACCAACAATCCCTAAGCAAATGATGTGGAGAATATCTAAATCAATCGAATAAAGCTCACATTAGAATATCTCGTGTTATATCATTGGGAATGCAATGTTGATAGTTGATGAGAATATCTTTGAAATGATCAATCTGTTTATTGAAATGATTTTAATGAAAGTTGATTTAATATAAATTATGCATATGAATTTTATAAAAGATTCAATATTTTCATATTCAGCTAAAATAAAATTATTTATTTTATATTTAAAAATTAGCTCATGGAAATTATGACGTATAAATTTCATACCTCTGAAGAGTACAAATTCATACCTTCAAAGGGTTAGCCTAATAAAAGCCATGATGGACAAACTTTCGGTGGTTTGATTACTGGAGCCGTTCAAGCAGTTAATTAACTCTTGTTTAAGTGAGAACTATATTTGTTCGCTAATCAGTCTTAAGGACATTCGATATGTAAAAAAACGTATAAATTTCATTGACGTCTAATAAAATAGTTAATTTTTAATTTATTTACGTCTAATAAAATAGTTAATTTTCAATTTAATTTAATTATCTAAGATATAAAATTTGAATCGGATTTTCAACGTCTACAAACCTACACTCAAAATTGGCAAAATGTTGTTAGTTTTTGAAGATTTTTTTAGAAAAATACACATGTTAAATACACGGAAGTGCCTATTGACCTTTCTTCTTTTTCTCTTTTTGGCATTTGAGGATAGTTAAACCCATGTTAAAGCATGTTTTAAAGTGGTCAATTTGCCACCAACATTTTTAATTTTAATTTTGACACTAGCTCTACCGTCCAACTGCTAAGTGATAAAACTACGTCGGCGCCTCCTTTTTGCATTAAAGATAAAAAGTCACCAGCCGTCCACCAGGGAAAACATAAATTTAATCTTAAATTTTGTTACTTTAACTTTGTGTCGTTGTCGATTTTTATTTTAACTTATCAAATATTTAAATTTACACAATCACACATATTAAACACTTCCATTTTCAAATTTATTTTATTAATTACTTCAACTTGTAAAATTAAATCAATTAAACACTCATTAAAAGTTAAAAATTATGAAAATTATTATTTTAAAAATAATGCTAATTGCATGTCAATTTGATATTTTACAAATAAAGGCCAAAAACTCTAAAAAAATACTGATTTTAGTATCGAAAAATGTGTAATATTACTAAAATTTATAAATTTATATATATAATACGTTATTTACAAAGTTTAAGACGCTACAAGGTTAAAGTTGTAATATATATGCACTTGGCATTTGCTCATGTACTCATGCTTGTGGAAATTGAAATACTACGAGTGCATTTGGTTTAACTGATTCCTGCAGTTCATAGCTGTTTTGTATCCGAAAGTTAAGTTGTAAGTCCCAATCAGTTGCCGTTTCTGTAAGCTACATTTAGAAGTTTTTTCATATCAGCTAGTAGCTAATTTGTATTTATACTATTTTGGACTTTATTAATCTCATACAAAAATAATTGTTAATAAATTTATTTTTTTCCAAACTAATATTTTTATTTGATAATTTTGTTTTATACTTATTTAAAAAAAAATTAAATATTACTTTACAAGTTAATATTTTTATTTATGTAATACATTATTAATACATGTGGACTTTATATCTCATACAAAATAATTGTTAATAATTAATTTTTTTCCAAACTATATTTTTTTTATTTTGATAATTTTGTTTTATACTATTAGAAAAAAATTAAATATTACTTTACAAGTTTAATATGTTTTATTTATGTAAATACATTAAATAAAAAAAATAATATATTCACTTTAAATTTATATATATATATATCTATATATATTATATATATAAACAATTATGCCATTAATAGTCATTTTATATTTTAACAACAACAACTATTAAAATTTAACCGAACATGAACAAATAATCCGTTAACCACTATCAGCTATCAGCCACCAGGTATCCGCAACCGCTATCAACTGATATGAACCGCTGAACCAAACATATTCGATATATGCTTATCTAAAACGTCCTAATAAAGAAAATTGCGTGCCTTGTGCGGAGTTTAATGTACTAACAATTTTATTATTTCCCCAATTCATTTTTAATAGTGTATTTTAAAATGCCAATTAATTGTGATTTGATTGGTCCTCCTACTCATATAAGAGTATGAAGTTTTAGGTTCGAGATTTTTCAACTATAAGAGCCCGTTTGGAACAAATGAATTCCACAAAATTTTATGGAATTCATTTGGAAATCCAAAATGTTTTGTTTGGAATGAAATATAGGACATTCAAATAAAATTTCTTTAACAGCAGCGGTCGTAGAAATTTAAAATGTTGTGTTTTAGAATAAAAAAAATGTAGATTTGAATTCTATGGAATTGAGTATGTCTAACTTAAATTTTTTTTTTTTTTCTAATCCAATAATGATGTTATTTTATATTTTTATTTTTATTTTTTGGAAAATTTGAAATCAGTAATGACTTTTTTTTTAAATCTAGTAATAACGTTAGCTATTATTAATATGAAACTATAAAAACTTCAACAATTGTTTTTAAATGCAATTAAAAATAATAGTTACCCTCCACTATAAACTCAACTATTTTTACTTTTTTTTTTCCTTTTTGTTTATTTTCTTTGAAAAATTCCAAACTATAACAACGCTATTTTTTTTAATCCAATAATGAAGTTCTTTTATATTTTTATTTTTACTCTTCTTTTTTTTTTTTTGGAAAATTTCAAATCAGTAATGATGTTTTTTTTTTTTAAATCTAGTAATAACGTTAGTTATTATTACTATGAAATTATAAAAATTGAGGATCAATAATTGTTTTGAAATACAATTAAAAATAATAATAAAATTCTTATAGCTTCCAAATGAATGACTTAAATCAACAAAAAATTTTACATCAATTAAAAATAATTATTATAATGAATATTACTGCTTATATAATTAATTAATTAGCGCGGAATAATAATGTACTTATTTATATGAAATTTATTATTTATATTTTAATAAAAAAATGACAAGTTACTATATGTACATAATAAATATAATTGTGTTTGTTATTTATTTTTGTAAAATTATTATGTCAATGGTGTTATAAGAAATAAAGACAAATGAATTTTCATTTAAAAATTTATTCCAAACATAATTTCGTGGAATTCAATTGATTTTCTTATTTTAAATTATAGTATATCAAACATGACAAATTCATTTGTAAATGAATTACAATCATAATTCATTTGTTCCAAACCGGCCGTAAAAGTTCTCACCAATTTAGTGAATAAAAAAAAGTATTAATATTTTCTTAAAAAAAAAGAAGGGAAGTGTTAATCACGTTGTATCGCCCACAATATTCTATTGGCTTATTGGCTTTTCCAACAAATAAAAAAAACTGTATATCTTAAGATTTTTACATAATAAATTTTTTTTTGAAAGGAAGAACTTTACACGGTAATTAAATAATTAATTAAATTACTTAAATTATTGTAAAATACTATTTGATTTGATTAAATTATCCTTGATCATACGTAAATATTCCTTATCAATAAATTTTTTTTTAATATAATTTTGTAGAAAATAAATTTTATGAAATTACAGATAAAAAAAATTGAGGGAGTGTTAATAACACCCTTATAGTTTTCACACAAAAAAGTTACTGCAATTTATATATAATTTATATGTAATTTTATCATATTTAATAATAAATATTTAAATACGAAATTTTTATATTTTGTAGTATTTTTATGATTCGATATATTAGAAATTTTATTTTTAAACTAGTCTTTGATATTACAATTAAATAATAAAAGGTGAGTTAATTATTTTCTAGAAAAAAATTTAACTTGACTATTAAAACTTTAAATTAAATTTCATCTCACTGAAGTTAAAAACGCAGAGATTCCTTCGAAATAAAGTAAAGTACAAAAATAGAGTAAAATACAAATGCTCATAATAGGTAGGTGTATGTGGCACCCATGCAGATGCAGATGCAGATGCAGGGCAGCTCATGTCAGAGAAAGAAAGACTTCTTCGCTTTCCAATGTGCAAACCCCACTTGGATTTTCTAATTTTCTTTTTTTTTTTTTAAAAAAAAAAACATAGTAAAAGAGGAATATATATGAAATAATTTTTTCTTTTTCCTAAATATCACTTGAAATAATTCAACGTAAAATCTTTTTAATTGATCCTATTTACATTTCTTTGATTTTTTTTGTTTGGAATTAAGTAATTAAGTATTAAAAGAAAGGTTAAAAAAATATTTATTTTATAAGATAAAAAAATATGAATAGGTTTGTGTTGAAATAATTTAAAATTCGGTTACCCGTAAGGTTTCTTTTTAAGAATTTTAATTATTTTAATTTATAGATGATTGAAATTAGATTTATATACGGCTCAAGCTGCATGTTTCAATTTGCAAAGAAATGTATTTTTTAAAAAAAATTTACAACGAAAAATCGAAAATGAAGAGTTGCTAATACTCAATTCAATATAGACCAATAATAGCACTTTTGCTTTGACACCACAAGTTTTCATTGTTTAACAAATTAATTATAAATATAAATTAATTATAAACAACCAATAAACATTAGATCAATAGTAAAATATTTTTTACATATCAATTAAGTGATAAGAAAATAATAATTAAATTTAAAAATCTGTTGTGATTGCTCATTTAATAATTTAATATATAAAATAAATTAAAGTAGTAACATAAACAATCAACTACAGTAAATGTAATATCTACGTGTATTTTTTTTTTCTTCAAAAAAAATGTAATACGGACTATTAATTTCATTTCAAACTTTCAATAATTATAATTTCACATTAAATAGATATTTATATTTTTGGCACCTAAACTTATCAATTTAGTTGCTATTATATTCTAATTTATTTTTAAAGTTGCAATTATACTTTAAAAGCAA